TCTATGAAAATTGTATTTATTTAACAACTATACAAACACTTCTTGAGTGTTTTACAGCGAATAATGATTATGTCACGTTGCAGGCAATCAGCGGATACATAAAACTTTTAATGTATTCCACAGCCACCTCTACACATAGTATTAAAATATATTTACTAATAAAGTAATGGGCGGTAATAGAATCTAATTCCCACACGTAATAAAAATTAAAAAATTTTCATCACGCAATAAAAATAAAGGGAAACCCATCATTCATACGAAAGTAGGTACAAATCAGTCGTTTAAAATTTTAATGGATTGTAATATCGCAAAATAGGTATATTAAACAAAGTGTTTTCTGTTTGTATTTAAGTAAACCGACTACAGATAGATTAAGTTTCCCTATATCTCTTTCATTAACTACAACTTTTTCTAATGTTTTGAGTGATCTTTTCGAATAAAACCTAAAAACGGATTCGAAAAATCTTTTAATTCTTGTGACTTCATTTGGATCATTATGGTTATCATGGAGTTAATTTAATTAAATAACTAAGACTTTTCATGGATTTCCTAGATGATTATAATATTATTAAGAAAAATTGGGTCACCTTTCACCTGTTCTAATTTAGAAATAACCACGAAATTAAAATTGAATAATTAATTCTTAATTATTGTATATTTTCATTGATGGTATTTAATTTACAAGAAAATCAATATGAACTACCTATCTTCTTACTAGATTAAAAGAAGATTGAGAAGGTTGTTTGTAATGCATCTGTCTTAACTAACTATACAATTACTAGCCTTGAGAATGCCTCCCATTTGAAACCAAAACATTGGAAGATTGTTAATAAAAATTTACCATCCAGATTTAGCTATTATAACTAGTAGACAAAAATCTTCTTTTCCACATACGTTTGGTTTACATTAATTATGATCCTCATTACGTAAACTAGTTACATACTTTGGCAAACATAAATTACTTTAAATTGTTTTTTACATATATTCACCTGCCATTCGAATTAATAAGATAAGAATCTTAAGCTAGCATTTACACATTATGTGTATTTTTTGCACAATTTATTTAAATTATTTTTGTTTGTTTTGACAAAAACGGTAAAACCGGCAAGGTAACATTGACCTCACCTTTTAATATCAAACACTACATTAAACATACATGCATGTGTGTATATATGTACCTGTCTTACATGTGTAAATATACATATATCTATCTATGTTTATTTTAAAATTGATGAAATAATCCATATGTGTAAAAACCCCAAGGCCGCCAGTAAAATCATTTTATTGTTTTTCACTTTCCGTTTCGATGTAAAATTATTTAAAATTATATTAAAAATTACATTACATCATATGTAGACGTCTTTTGTATAAAAGCAAGTACAAGGGTTTCTGTCATGTTCGCTATATATTTGAGATCAATATGATTTTATTTTTAATTATCTCCAAGAATTTGAGAATGCAAAAAATGAGGAAAACTGAAATCTTTAATTACTGTGTAGGTCAGGGGAAACTAATTAGTCAACTATATATATACTACTTACTATCTGAATTCTCAATACCTATTATGTACCCTTTTGTATGAACAAAATACATACAAACAGTTTGTTGCATCTTTATATAAATACTAAGTACTAAACATTGCCCATAAGAAAGAGCAGATATTGGTTTTAATTTACTGTTTCCTTAGAAAATAGTAAAATAATATTAAAGATAAAGCAATAGATAGAATGTGCCTACAAAATAGACGGTCTTGGCCTGGGTGGTTGAACGACCAATGTCTATTTGTTTCGCATTCAACTGTTTAAATTTATTAGAGTACCTAACTAATGCATTTAAAAAATAATCATTAACACAAAGATTCATAGATTCGTTTTGATGTGTTAAGATTGTTTAAATTCCATGGATTTTACATTCTACATTTGGAAGTGTACAAAATAAAATGTTTGTTTTTTTAGATAATACTGTTTTGTACAGTATTGGTTCATTTTATCAGTGCTGCTCCATCACCTAACCCAATTCCAACTTTTGGTAAAAGTTACGGAGGAGGATATGGCGGTGGTTTCGGTGGAGGGTACGGTGGGGGATATAATGGAGGATATAGTGGAGGATGTGGTTATAATTGTGGTGGAGGATACGGAGGCCATGGAGGAAGTACTTTAATAGTTATCAAAAAGGTTCCGTACGGCGGAGGATATGGTGGCTATGGAGGACACGGTGGTTATGGAGGTTACGGAAAAGGATTTGGTGGCGGTCACGGTGGCGGATATGGAGGAGGTTACGGGAAAGGTCTCGGAGGAGGGGGCTGTGGGTACGGAGGTTGTGGAGGAAATATAGGACACGGGGGTGGTGGAGGTTTTGGGTTCGGATTTGGAGGTGGATTCGGAGGAGGATTCGGAGGAGGTGGCGGCGGAGGTGGTGGAGGCGGAGGAGGTGGTGGATGGGGAAAATAAAAATTAGAAAACTGCCAACAGAAAAATAAACAGTTGATTTGTTCAACAAAATGTAAAAAGTTTTGTACATGTTTGTGTTTAGGTACTACAAAAAAAATTAAGGATGTAATTAAATTTTATAAGTAAATATGCATTTTTATTTATTTGCTATTATGATGATGTTAAACTGTTGGGTTAATATGGTGAAAACTACTATTTACATGCTCAAAAGTACCTTCTTAATATCTCTATTTTTTGGAAGGTGGTGACGTCTTTTTCTGTCGTTAATGCAACTGGCTAATATTTCTATGTAAATGTTCATTGAACTACTTTAGTAAAAGGCAATCTTGTACATAAAATACACTTTCAAGTATACATACTATGAAAAGACGTTTTATACATACGAGATCCTCAAAGATCAAAATCTCATTTTAGTTTTATTTGTGTAGGTCAAAACAGATAGCATTATAAATAATAAATTTGTTGTTAGTTGACGTGTCGACGTAGTTTAGTTGCTGAATACTTCTAACCTACTCACAATAAGAATCCTACATTGAACGCAAATAACTGAAATTAGCAAAGTAGCTGTCTTTATTAGGTAATTTATTTACTTTAGTCACTCCTTTATTGGCTTGGTAACTAATTTGAACTCGTGTTTGTAAAAAACAAAAGAAAGGAATTTTCAAAAACCCCATACGTTAATGAATCTGCCAATAGAAGAGAATTATTAATCGGTAGCGGTAGCAAGTTGAAAGCTCTGATTGAAAGATATTCCTACATCTATCTATGTATGTACAATACGTATAACCGGTATAAACCCAAGTGTATTGTTCACCTTGTTCTTTAAAAAAGTCAAGGTCCAAACTTGAATACTTGAACTTGTTAACCGTGTGTCGTCTGCGGCTTCTTTATTTAACCACAAAAGGCTTAGCAGCTTTTTAAATAAAATATACCCCTCGCCGTTGACAAAGGTGACCGACCTTCCCTTAATAAAGGTTAGTCAGATGTATGCTTTACTTAATATCCAATGTAGCATTTAAAAGTCATTCTCCGATACTTATGTTATTGTCTACCAAGAATAGAAATAAGTACTTAAGCATGATATTTATGCAAAAAAGTGGTTACATTTATTTATTCGCTAAGACGGAATTCAACATTTATTTAAGGAATTTACGAAAATTTTATTATTGGAGAAAATTACGATAATTAAGTAGGACTCAAAACAAAAAGAACTCACCCCAATAGTTCCTTCTAATGACCTAAAGTATTGAAGAATTTGTAAAAAATTAGGCCCTTAGATTAATCAATTTCGTTTTTAAAAAAATAGAACCACATTGCCCCATGTAAAACGGTACCTATTTATAAAATATTTGGAATATTTTGAAAGATTCCTCCTAGACTAACAGCATTACTCTTTTTAGCTGGATATGGCAGAAACTTCCTGAATCGATTTGACTTCCACATAATGTTCATCATAGTATTTATTAAATAGTCGTGACGGCGTTTTTATGTTTGTCAACATATTGAAAATTATAACTTGTTATGTAAATTAATATTTTTTCAAAGGTGATGATAAAGCCTTTTCTTAGGCATATGTATACAATAATAGGTGTGTTGTGCATTCTTACACTGACTGTCTAATTTTAATATTGTTAATTAATATTAAGTTTAGCGTCAGCAAGAATTATTCAGAATATTAAAATTGTTAATAAAATTTGTGCTGACTAACGGAGAGAGTAAAATTTTTATCGAAAAAAAGTTTGAGCATTCGTCCTTCTGAAGGAAAGCTAAATAATTACATTTACGGCAAGACGGAAACGTACAACGGACCGAAACTAAACAATTTCGCACCTTGTGTCAGATGTGTCATACAGGGTGAGAGTGGCTATTTTATGCCGCAGTCTGCCACCCCCATACACGCGGTATAATACAGCAGACATTTGCCTCGTGGTTGCCCCAATCTAGGATTACTCAGCTTTAGCGCAAAAAATGGCTTATTATGCCCCAAGGGAAGAAAGTTCGGCATCCCCCTGGGGTGTAAATTGCCATGCGAGCTAAGGGCGCGGCTGACAAGCTCCTTTCATACAACTTTCTTCCTAAAACCCGCATACGATTTATTACCACACCCTTGTCCCGAAAATACGACTTTTCCTGATTTCAAGGATGAGAAAGTGACTCATAATCCGCCAGGTAGGAAATCCCATTTACTGTAATAAAGGATTTTAATATTCTCCGCGTAGAAATTACCATCCGATCCCAAGGCGATGGTGGAAACTACGCAGAGAATGGAATGGAAGAACCTTTCTCAATAAGGACTAATTGCGATTTCTTACCCGAAAAAAATGTTGAGCTTTGGTCCCTGGAATCAAGGAAAAACATCGTACCTACTTTCAGTATGGATATGGTAAAAAATAGTTTTATTTTCAAGATTACTGGACTGCGATTGCATTAATGTAAATTATTTACGTTGCAACTGTCATATGACATTTCAAATCATCTTTTGAAATTAAAATTTTGTATAAGNTCTCCGATACTTATGTTATTGTCTATTGGGTCACCTTTCACCTGTTCTAATTTAGAAATATAATTAAACATTGCCCATTACTTTAAAAACATAAAAAAAGTTAATTATACAACAAATAACTAAGATGATGTTATTTGACGAATGCAAATTAAAATGGAACTTTTTTAACCTTGATGTTTACAATGCTACTGATTTAAAAAATTGGGAAATTTGTATTCGATTTATTAAATGTTAGCAGGTTTTAGCAATTGAACGTAATTAATGAAATGACATATTCATGTATTTTTGGAATAGTTAGTTACATAATTTCAACAAACATTAGGTATTAAGTAGGTAACAATATTATTTTTATGTTTATCAAAATCAAAGGCTAATAAGTATTCGAAAAAACGGAAAAAATAAAAGTAATCAGCGAAGCAAAAATATGTGAATGCTAAAGCTCGCCATTAAGTGAGTGGCGTAAACCAAATAAACAATTTTAATGTAAAAATAAAAGATCTAATTCGTGATAAAATTAATGGAGATATTATACAACATTTGTCATTAGTAAATAGAATGAATTAATTAACAGCTTTCCAAAATATTTTCAGCTTTTAGGAAAATGATTTTTAGTTTACTAGGAGTCGGTATTTATCTATTTTTCTGGTAAATTGTTCGAGTATCGATCTGATTTATCGAAGATTTTTATTTCAGTCTCAGTAATTAAACACTCTGTCTAACGCCTAACCTGCCCCCTTTAAAGCTAGCACTATTATACTACTGTTAACTCTGTCCCACCATGAAACTAGTTAATTTTCCAAAGCTAGAACATCCCATATCTCTAACCTTGTGCAAGCAATAATCTAGTCTATTTGGTATTCCTCTACACGTTATTTCTGTTTCTAATACTATAGGGTTGTTCGGAAAGTTATTTCGTTTTTTTTTTTGTGGAAATGAAAGACAGTTTTCGTATAATAAACAAATACTTTATTAAATTATATATTGACCGTTCTGGTCCAACACCTTTTGCCATCTTTCTGGTAGTAGCATAATTCCACGCTCATAAAATTTTTGGTCTTTGCTGGCAAAAAACTGATC